TTGTGCATTCCAGCTCCTATATTCCGGGCTTGGCTGCAAGTCAGTGGAGTACAAAACAAGTGGATTGCTATATAGGGACTTCTCTTGCAGAATAGGGCTCACTCTCGTGCTCTTGTGGTGATGAGGCTGTGCGTGTGGTGACATAGCCTGTGGTTGAAATAATAACTACCTCATTCATTAATTTTCAGCAACTACCAGTGACTAACGATCCCTACTTTACAAAAGAAGAAACTGATGCTCAGAATGGTTAGCTTGTGCAAGCTTGAGGAACTAGCATTCAGATCCAGGTCTGGCTGACGCCAGGGCCCATGCTCTTACCCACTGTGATGGGCTCCCTCTTTTCTCTAGGTGATGAGAGTGGGACCATCTCCCTTGTGGACACCAAGAGTGCAAGGTGTGCCCTCAGCTCAGCTGTCCACTCCCAGTGTGTCACTGGACTGGTGTTCTCCCCACACAGGTACTGTCCTTTGTTCCCAGGGGCCTGGTGGGTGTGAATGGGAACTGCACACGGGGAGTGCTTATGTTTGCAAAGCATTAGCTGATTAGGTCATTCCTTAAAGCAGACGGTGCTCTAATTAAGGTTTCAGAACACGAAAGATCTCTTAAGACCATAGTCCTTTTTTGGGTAGCATGGTCTTGTGTTCACATGGCTAAAATAGGGTCTTGTTCCTGCACAACACCCAAAATGATGAATATCGTGGGCTTCTGGGACTGTGTGGTTGGGAAAGCCTGTGTTTCTGGGTTATTGCTGAAGCTGCAGGGAGGGCCTAGATGGGGTGGTTAGTTGCCGGGATGATGGTCAACCCCGGCTTGCTCCATTTCCCTCATCCTTCCCTGCAACTTGTAATGTGGACTTGAGTGGTAGCCAGACCTTAACCTGAGGTGGGGATCAGGCCACCTCCTCTGGGTTACTTTGGGGTGGGGGTTGAGGGCAAACCAGGTAGGATTTGTCTTGGAACCATGGCTTTACCTCTCATAACCGCCCCCCGCCCCCTTGCTCTCCTAGCTCTCCCTTCCTGGCCTCTGTCAGTGAGGACTGCTCACTTGCTGTGCTGGACTCGGGCCTTTCCGAGGTGTAAGTGTGAAGTGGGATCCTGTGACCGGGAATCGGGGACAAGAGCGGAGGGTGGCTGGGTCCTTTCTGTCTCCATGCACTGTCTCTCTCAAGGGGGCTGGGTGATGGGAGCAGGCTGACACCGACCGGCTCCCCGTCCCCAGTGCTGGCTCACAACTGGCCCTGGTAGAGGAGGGGTGTGGTGGTCGGTGGGATTTCCAAGTCTGGTGTTCCAGCTGTCTCCCAGAAGGGGGCAGTCTACCCTTTTCACGCGAAGAACACGTATATGAGATGCAACCTGCTGCGCAGTGAAAGGCACCAGAGTCCCTGAATTATACTGCCTTCTTTGCCATGATGTGCTCTCTGATCCTGGCCCATGTTACTACCCTTGCTGTAGCCACCATTTCTTCATGAAGTTAGGGTGCTGGATTGAAGGGTCGATGAAGTTCTCTGGATGATTACACTCTATCCTGGTGACAAGGCCACACATCTGGTGAAGTTTGTATAACACATCCCAAAAAGGTGCCCTGGATGTGTTGGATTCTCTCTTTTCTCCAAGCCTGCTTTCTCCTCGTTCTCACCGTGCCCATACTTTCCTTTTTTCTCTTCTAGGTTTAGAAGCCGAGCCCACAGAGACTTTGTGAGAGATGCTACGTGGTCCCCGCTCAATCACTCCCTCCTTACCACAGTGGGCTGGGACCATCAGGTCACCCACCACATCGTGCCCACGGAGCCTCTCCCAGCCCTTGGACCTAAGAGTGTTGCTGAGTAGATAAGACAAAAAACAAATCCCCCATGAGTAACCACTCCCTTTGCCCTGCCCTCTCAGTCTGTGAGACCACACAGGAGCCTTATACACTATGTTGATACACTAGATCTGGGCAGTTAATAGGCATTGGCTCTCAGGCCAAGGAAGGCTGGATTCTGGGATCCTGTAGTCCCAGGGAAGAAAAACTTTCCTAAAATTGGATATGTATGTGTGTCTGAGTGTGTGTGTAGATGCATAGTTTTTGGTGGTGGGGGGGAATTAAAATCCATCTTATGTCTTTCCCAAGTCCTTCCCCCACCAAAAAAAAAAACAAAAACCAAAAAACCCCCCAAAAAGTTCACAAAAGGGTTTTATGCTTCCTATGTAGCTGTGCATGAGGAATTGGCCGTGGCTAGATGGAATGTGGGATGTGGGCATCCCTGGATTCTTGGAAGCAGCTTATATACTACTCATGGAGATAGAAGCAACTTTATTTTTTATAAAACTTAATCTACCTTTCTCATGGGCAATGCTTCCATCCACAAAACTCTTGCCCGACTCACCTTGAGGAAGAGCCAGAACACGCATCATAGTTTTGCACATCTCCTTGCCGTGAAACTGACTCAAAGATACATTTTTTGGCTGGTGCCTGTGTAATGCTCCCCACCCCTCGTGGAGTTGTGTGTATGAAAGATGAGTGTTTTCCTGTTGTAGATTCCATGGAAAAAGTTGGGGGGTCGTACAGAGCTTAAAGGCATTTCGGTTAAGTGAAAAACACCCAGGCTTGCAGAGAAACGTGCCACATCTCCCACCCCCAAACAGCTTGGGGCCTGACCTCTCCTGGCCTCTGGATCCCTTTCTCTGGATATAGGAAGTCTGAATGCTGTTTTTGTGGACTCCGAAGATTTTAAATGCAGCATCAGAGAATCAGAAATACTGGTTGGTGAAATAAAAAGTTTAGGCTTTGCTGGCCTGTCTTTTGAAGTGTGTGTTATGTGCAGTTGGACACATCTCACTTACGTGAGGCATCAGGGTGTTCGTCTTCTAGCCCGTTGTCTGTGTGCTTCCCCAGCCCTTAGAGCAGCTAGTTGGAACTTAAAGTAAATGTTGAGTCACTTGGGTTGATGGGTTGGCTACCACCATAAATCATGGTCAATTACAGATTATGAAACAATACAATCAATTATGTACTTTAGTGCTTTGCAAGTTTAGCTCAGCTAAAATCACATGAAACTGAGGTAGTTTGAAGGAATATGGACGAAATATAAATAAAGCTTCCAGGCTGCACCCTTGCCAAGCATGAGCTCTTGTCACAATAACCCCCAAGTAAAAACGAATTTGTAGTCCTGTGCTGTACTGGGCTTGGGGTAGGTGGGAAGAAACCCTTCACTGTTCTTAATTACAGCTTCTTGGAAGGTAATAGGGTGGGTGGGTAGAAACATTTTAAGTTCTTCTCAAGGTAAACTTCACAAAGTTGTGATGGCCTAGAGAAAGGAGGGGTGAGGTGGGTAGGAACTAAATTTGCCTAGTCCTTTTCCTGGTGAACTCAGCCATGGTGGAGAGGAAAGCAGTGGAGATGAGAACCCAAGGAAATGTCCACCTGTATCAGGGTGTTTAAAATGACAGGAAAGAAAGAAAACCTAGGTTTTGAAGAACCACATTATTGTAAAAAAAAGGGGGGGGGGCGCCTGGGTGGCTCAGTCGGTTAAGCATCTGACTTCGGCTCAGGTCATGATCTCACAGTTTGTGAGTTCGAGCCCCACGTCGGGCTCTGTGCTGACAGCGCAGAGCCTGGAGCCTGCTTCACATTGTGTCTCCCTCTCTGCCCCTTCCCTGCTCATGCTGTGTCTCTCTGTCTCAAAAATAAACATTAAAAAAAAAATTGGTTTAGATTCTGATCTGTGCTGATGAGAATGATCACATCTGTTGATTGCCACCGAGACATTTGCAAACCTAATCAAAATCACCCCCCCCCCCCCCCGGGCTGCGTGTGTGTGTTACAGTGAGCAAACAATGAGAAATGTGGTATTACACGTAGGGTTATTCACTTGGGTCCTGGATGTGGGAATGGTTTCAGTAGCATGAGCATAGACTTACTGGTGAGTTTGATTTCCAACCGGTCATTTTACTTTGCTTAAAACTGTGGGCATTTACGTTGCATTTAATTTCACTGGTTCAGATGTCTAATGCTGGAATGAATCCACTTCCCTGACTTCATTGTTCTTACTCTGAAGCCCATCAGCCTGACTCACTCTATTCCACTGCTAATCCCCAGTCCGTGGTTACAGGAAGCTTGCTCCTTGGGTAGTGAGTGCCCAGAGCCGAATGCTGAAGGAGGCTCAAGTATGGTTTCAGGTGGCACCAGACATTGCTCTGGTTCCCAAGGTCTCTCTCCTGCCCCACAGGACAGGAGGTCAGCTCTTTAATAAATAGCTACATAGGCATTTCATGCTGACTCCCCACGTTACAGCAGCAGAAATACCCAAACAGTACTACCTTCATCAAATATTCTTTTTTGAACTGCCTCAATGTTTAAACTATATGAAATTAGAGGTTTGGGAATAATCCACATTTTCTAGTACACGTTAGTATTTTAAAAACCCTCACGCACGAGGGCACCTGGGTGGCTCAGTCACTTGAGCATCCGACTTTGGCTCAGGTCATGATCTCGCAGCAGTCTGTGAGTTCAAGATGTGCGTCGGGCTCTGTGCTGATAGCTCAGAGCCTGGAGCCTGCTTCGGATTCTGTGTCTCTCTCTCTCTGCCCCTCTCTGCTCATGCTCTGTCTCTCTCTCTCTGTCAAAAATAAATAAACATTAAAAAAAATTTTTTTTTAATCCTCATGCACAACGAAAAATAATCTTTTATCTTGAATATTGGGAAACACTGCTCTGTCTAGCCACTTTATTGTTAAAAACATTTTTTTTAAAGTTAACTCCACGCCACTCGTGGGACTTGAACTCACAACCCCCAGATCAAGAGTCACATGCTTGCGGGGCACCTGGGTGGCTTGGTCGGTTGAGCGTCCGACTTCGGCTCAGGTCATGATCTCATGGTCCGTGGGTTCGAGCCCTGCGTCGGGCTCTGTGCTGACTGCTCAGAGCCTGGAGCCTGTTTCGGATTCTGTGTCTCCCTCTCTCTCTGCCCCTCCCCTGTTCATTCTCTGTCTCTGTCTCAAAAATAAATAAACGTTAAAAAAAAAAAAAGTCACATGCTCGTGATCTGAGCCAGCCAGGCACCCTCATCCCATTCATTTTAAAGATGTAAAATGGTTAAGATCTTTCAAGTTTGCACCAATCCATAGTCAACACTCTGGGCTCTTGGATTCATTCAATCAATTGATTTTGTTCAAGTCATACTTGTCCAATTTATCCACATGAGTATCACAAAAGTTTGGCCAAATGCTTTGCTAAAACCGAGGTATTTTGGCTCTGATCTTGCCTTCGTCTACTTGGGTATTGTAAAATCTGGGAGGGGGTGCGCTGCCATAGGCATTTCTTCAGTAAGCCAACTAAAAGACGTTTGTAAATGTTTTCCCATGAGAACAGGCTAGGCACCAGGAAGGAGTATTTTCAAGTATCCGGGTGGGTGTGTAAAATAACAATGGTATTTTTTGACAGCAAAATGTCAAGGATTGAGAGCACACAGAGCGACATGGCATACTGATTTTCAACAGAACCCTCACTCGGCATTTACTATTCATCATCTGCTATACACATGGAGTCATAGTTCCTACCCTTGGCATGATCGTCCCTGAATGAAGCAGAGGTCCCTCCCGGGCATCCATTGTTACATGGTGGTGTTCTTTGCATCCATAGCAAAGGAATCAATGCATCCATAGCAAAGGCATGGAATCAATGGTTAGGTCTGAGATCCCACCTTGTCCACTACAGCAGAATAGGATCCCAGAGGACGGACCCAGGTACAGATGAGAATGGTGCAGATTGGCAGGCAGACTGAGCTCTGTGCTGGAGACAGCATTAGGAGCTAGTGCCTCCTGGAAGGAGTCGGGATGGAAAGGCACAAACCTAGTGGGAAATCTCAGTGATACAGAATCTGAGGGACAGGAGGTGGCAGGAGGGAGGCTCAGAATTAGAGAGAGGCATGCATCCACATCAGGGAGGTCTTAAAAGATAGCTAGCAAAGGCCCCAGGTGCCTGGCAAGACTGAGTCAGGACCCAGGCCCTGGGAAACAACTGTAGTGCCTACAGTTTACAGAACAGGAAGAAAAATGAATGTGGAGACCCATTAACAAGAATTAGGGGGCCTGGGCTAGAAATTGGGAAACAAGTAAGAGCATGGTCCTTAGTGTTAGAAACCACACCAGGGGTAATGTAGCCAGTGGTACAAGTTGTTGCCATCCTAATCCAGTGTTGCCCTCAGGAGGCTTAATGATTTCCTGATTCAGGTTACTGTTAGCCCAAGGAATGGAGGGTGGCATTGAGCAGGTAGGTGGGACTCCAGTGGCCCCAGTGATGGTACAGAGTAAGTCTGTTTCGTGATAAAACTCACATTTTCCCCACTGCACCTATCCAAGAGAGATGAGAGAGATGCATACATCTCCAAGAGAGAGACATACACTCGGGGGTGTGAACAATCTGTTCACTAGACTAGAAGCTCCCTGAGAGCAGAAACTGTCTTGATCACCATTGCATCTAGAGTGCCTAGCAGGGCCTGGCACATGCTCAAGTATTTGTTGAGTACTTAAGGCAAGGCAAAGATGGATGAGTAAGTGGAGACAGTCTCTTTTAGGTGGGGTATTCCATCAGGCTTACCTAGAGTTTTACTGAAATATTCCTTGCTTACACATCCTATAACATCTATTGTTTTTATTCCATGATATCCAAGCAGTCTTCTTTTTTTTTATTTTTTTATTTTAAAGTTTATTCACTTTTGAGAAAGAGAGAGACAGAGCATGAGCAGGGGAGGGGCGGAGAGAGAGAGAGAGAGAGAGAGAGAGAGACAGACAGACAGAATCAGAAGCAGGGTCCAGGCTCCGAGCTGTCAGCACAGAGCCCCAGGTGGGACTCAAACTCACGAACCGTGAGATCATGACCCAAGCTGAAATCGGACGCCTAACCGACTGAGCCACCCATGTGCCCCCAAGCAATCTTCTGATTAAAAAATTGATCTTCCTGGTTTCTTCATACTGGAAGTGGAACTAATTTAACCACTAGTCATTGTATTTTGCCGTGTCATTTATTATACTGACATCTGATTAGTACCTCGGTGAAGTGTGGATGAGGTGAGCAGTGTCAGTCTCTGAGAAGATGAGCATCCGATTTCTGGTCCTCCATGATTGAGATTCAGATTGTGAAATATGGGACCTACTCATGATTTGAGATCCTCCGTAGCAGAAAAAGAAAACTGGCGGATCATAAAAGCATCTGGCTACAGATCTATTTTTGTTTATCCTTCATATTGTTGTTGTTGTATTTTTAAAATATTGGCTTTCAGGTATCCACAATTGTATTCCTTACATTCCTTAGGTTCATAACACATTCTCAGCGTTGGCTCGTGTACTGGCTCAAACACCGTTGACCCGCACGAAAATTGAGATTTTTGTCTTCTCTTGAGAAACTGAGCGATCTTCCAACACTGGGTCTTTTTCACTACATGGCAGCCGTGAGTGGTTACTCAGAACAGCTGCCTCTGTTCATACCCGTCTCTAGTGTCTCCTGACCAAGAGGCTTCATGTTAGTTGCTGTATGTCACTCGGCTCGGACTGCTATCCTTCTAATGAAGTGGAGAGTGAGCTATTTTATTGAGCCCGCTTCACCCATTTACATTACCTGCCTGGCGAGTCTTGGATGGGAATTTGAGAACAGTTGCTGGGCAACTGTTCTGGCATCCTTAGTAACAGCTACCCTTCGCCGAGCCCTTATTACGAGCAAAGCCCTGAACTAACAATGTTTTGTACGTCATCTCGTTGACTCCTACCTATAAAACCGTGTGAGCTGTTTTATGAGTGTGGAAGCTGAAGCTCAAAAAGCTAAGCAACACGGAGGTTCAAACCTTACCGTGCCTAGGTCCAAGGCTGGGACTTTTAAACTTTATATTCCACCCCTTCCCCAACTAATAATCCGGTAACAATGGAATGACTGCCTCCATATAGTGTGTACTCCTCATACTCAGTCCCTGTGGCACGAATCCCAGGAACTGGGCTGAGCGTTGCCCTGCCCTCGCCCTGGCCTGTGGCGGACACCCACCGTGTGCCAGGGTCAGACCCAGCTGCTGCTTTGTTGGTTTTGAGGGAGGACAAGAGGCTGCTGGCATCGCTGTGGCTCTGATGGAGGACGGGAGGCGCTGGGGTCACTGTGACGCGGCAGCAGCCCATTCATCACCGCCCCTGGTTTTGTGTGTGTGTAGCCAGGCTATGTCAGCACTGTCCCGGGGCTGTGCCCGGGGAAGTTCCTATAAAGGCACTCGAGCCCTAGCCTTGTAGCTCTCAGACCTTTAAGATGGGGAGGCTGTTGCTGTGGGTTGGTGAGTGTGGCAGTTCCCAGCCCCTGAAAGGTCACTCAGTCCAGCAGACAGCAATGTTCAAGGCCTCTTGAGCGCCTGAGAAGCAGCCTAGGACTCGAGATGGGGGGGGGGGCCCAGCTTAGGTGGAGGTGGGATGGGACATGGGGAAGGCACAGAGGAGCCCAGGCAGGAGTCATCTGAGCAGTGGTTCTCAAATCCAGCTGCCCATTAAATATCTTTATGCCCAGTTCCACCTTGGACCAGTGAAATCTGAATCTCCAGGGGGAGGAGCCAGAGTATCACTTTTTATACTTGCAGCCAAGGCGACAACCACTGGCCTACGGCTTTCGCTGACTTCTAAGTCATCGCTGTCCCTGTGCCGAGCCTGTGTGTATCCACATGGTGTTGGTTGGGGTTAAATAGGAGCTTTGATAGATTTGGCTCCACTGGTTCAACTTAGAGAAGAGGAAACAGGTGAAGGGAGGCTGTCTCCATTTGTGCATCTGTGTCTGGCTCTGGGGCACGGGTGGTGGGTGCCCGGGAGGACTGGAGGGTGGCCAGGGCAGGTCACTCGGGGCATGCATGTGAATCAGAGCGTGATTCCACCCTTTGTTTCCTGCAGGGCTGGTTCTTGTGCTGAGGCACCACGATGGTAAGGAGAGTGTGTCCTCCTCTCTGGAGCCAGGGAGCTCCCCCAGCTGAGGAGCGCTCTGTGTTGAGTGTCTCCCGCAGCCCCTCCCTGCCCTGGCCCCTGTGTCAGGGACCATCCATCCACTGCAGTTGAGCAGAAGATTTTCAGTCACCTGCCACTTGTCACTCTGCGTTGGCAGGGTCCAGACTTGAGGATCCATCCTATCAGGATTTTATAAGGCGTTCTTTCCCCCCTGGGGCCTCAGCGGTTGGGGTGAAGGGGGAATCAGACCTCAGTCTAGCTTTGGGGTGTGTTTGTATGTGGGGGTTACGGTGGCCTGGCCTCTCGGGCTGTGTTCACACCGCTCCGTGGAAGCTGAGCTCCACCCTCTCCCTGGGTCTCTGCCAACTAACGCACGTTCTCCCTTGGCAGGCGCCGCCCACAAACTGGTGTGTTATTTTGCCGGCTGGGCGCAGAGCCGACCTGGCCCTGCCTCGATCTTGCCCCGTGACCTGGACCCCTTCCTCTGTACCCACCTGATATTTGCCTTCGCCTCAATGAACAACAATCGCATCGTTGCTAAGGATTTCCGGGATGAGAAAATTATCTACCCAGAGTTCAACAAGCTCAAGGAGAAGTGTGTTCCGATGGCCTGTGGGGATCGGATTTTCAGATTTTACAAACAGAAGAAAATTAAGCCTATTTTCTCTTGTGACTTATCAACTTTCTTCTGATTCTTCGGGTCCTAGCCTCCTCTCACAGGGGGCTCGGGATCATCTCTGCCTGAGAATTCCCTGAGGAATAACACCCTGAGCTCATTCTTGCCTCCTTGCCTTTGTTGCCTCTGCCTGGTAACCCTCAGCTCACCCTTCAAGCCAGAGGGAAGGAGTTCATGTACTAATGCTATTAAAATGCTTCGGGGAGGGGGGTGGGGCGCGTGGGTGGCTCAGTCAGTTAAGCGTCTGATTTCAGCTCTGGTCATGATCTCATGGTTTGTGAGTTTGAGCCCCACATCAGGCTCCACACTCACAGCGTGGAGCCTGCTTGGGATTCTCTCTCTCTCCCTCTCTGTCTCTGCCCTTCCCCAACTTGAGCTTTCTCTCTCTCTCTCAAAATAAATAATAAACTTAAAAAAATTTTTTAAATGCAAAAAAAAATGCTTCAAGGAGGGTCCGCATATCACAGATGCTTCACAAATGCTAGTGTCTTTATTACCATTTGTCACCTGCACCCCACCCCCCCAGGACAGTGAGGTCCCCGAGGGAAGGGGCAGTGTCTCCAGTATATTTGCGTACCAGGGGTTAGGTGAGTGCCTTGAGCGGAAGTGGTGCTCAGTAAGTGCTTGTATTCCTGTCCCCAGCTCTCTTGGGTTCTCTCCCTGTCCAAGGAGAGGTCTGTCACTGCGCTAATAGTTATAGATGGCCAGGGTATAAATCCCACATCACTAGATCACAAGCTCCCTGTGAGCAGGGAGCTTGTCTGTCTTGTTCTCTGTTACCACAGTCAAGCACCTAAGGCAATCAACGGCGCATAGTAATTACTCAATAAATATTTGTTGACTAAGAAAACAGTGAAGAGAAACATCTTGAGACTACTTCTTTTCCTTCGCACAAGAGCATCATGAGATGTGGGGGAGTTTGGTGGACTTTGGACAGCCTCGGAGGTTGGGTTGTGATGATGCATGGATTGAATGTTCTCCCCTCTTTTCCTTTTTTTTCTTCCCTGTTCTCTGCTCTGCACTTCTCTGCCCCTCCCTCCACCTGACTTCCCCTTTCACTCCCCTCCCCCCCTAACTTTCCGCTGTTCCCCAGGGGCCCACTGGAGTGGGGACCCAGCTTACCTCCCTCTATCCCACGTCACAGGAACAGGAAGCTGAAAACACTGCTGTCCACTGGTGGGTGGAACTTTGGCACAACCAGGTGACACTCCGGGGCCCCTCCCTGCTGCTTGAATTCCCCATCCCTGGGTATTTGGCCCCCAGGGCTGGGAGGGGCTTTTAAGAAGGTTGGGAGTTTCAAAGACCTGCCTTTCTTTCTTCCAGCCAGTGTCTGCGGGCCAGCTGCCAGGTGCAAACCGAGGGGCTTTGTGGGGTTGTGGTTCTGAGAAAAGCCTTCCTTGCCTCACCCCGGGTCTCCTGCAGGTTCACCACCATGCTTTCCACATCGGCCAACCGGGAAAGGTTTATTGATTCAGTTATATCCCTCCTGAGGACACATAACTTTGATGGTCTGGACCTCTTCTTCTTGTACCCTGGAGTAAGAGGCAGTCCCATGAGGGACCGATGGACTTTTCTCCTCTTAATTGAAGTAAGGCCAAGTCTGGAAGCTCCAGAATCCAGAAATGATTCTACTTTTATCATATCTGGGCTCGGGGCGTAGGAGGAACAGAAGGCCAGGTGGGGGCAAGGGCAGGAGAGCGGTAGCAGAATGTTCTTTTACTGCCATCCTAGAAGGGTCTGGCAAAAAGAGCAGGAGTCCTCGTAGTGGCTCTTTTTCACTGTCACACCCAGGTCCTGCTCCAGCACTGCAGCCCAAGTGATGCCTCCTCGGTGCAGCTTCCTGGCCTCCCACAGGCAGCCTGTGCTCCCCCTGCCCGGCCAGCCCTCTATTGTCACTTACCACGTTGGCTCAAGGCGGCCTCTGTCACGAGCCTGGGGCAGGGGCTGTGTCTGACTCACCTCTCTGTCCCTAGAGCCTGGCTCAAGGGGCTCTGTAAATAAAGGTATCCTGGATGATTCTTTCCCTGACTGCTCTGTCTGGATCTGTGCGTCTGCCTTTTTTGGCAGGAGCTCCTGTTTGCCTTCCAGAAGGAGGCGCAGCTTACCAGGCGTCCCAAGCTGCTGCTCTCTGCTGCTGTCTCTGGGGATGAACAAATCATCAAAACAGCTTATGAAGTGCTCCTTCTGGGAAGGTGAGTGGGTGCTGCCTGGGGGGCAGGAGGGAAGGAGGCACGTCACGCTCAGAACCCTGGCGTGGTACAAACACTCTGCCTGTGAGCTCTCCATGTGCAAGTGCTATTTGGGGGGGCCGGCAGAGGAACATAGGTGGGGACAGGGATCAGCCCCACAGACCCTGGGCTTTCTTTAGGAGACCAGACGGAGCTGTAGGACCAGTGCCCACAGTCACATCATCTCGGGCAGAGCCTTCTGCAAAGCTCTTTGCTGAGTCTCGAAGGAGAGAATACCAGGGGCCTGGCCTCTGCCGTCCCAGAGTACAGCTGTAGACATACACTGTGGGGCACAAGGCGGGCATCAGAGAGCCAGATGAGTTAGCAGCCACTGACACAAAAACAGAAATAGGCATGCCCAACCAGGTCTAGTTTTCAGAGCGTGGGTCTCTGTAAAAAAGTTACAAAGCTAAACAAAGAACCACTCATAACTCACTCTCTCTGGACACGCCAGTTCTGGGCTAATTTTCTTGAGCCTCAAGAATCGAGTGTTGACAGAGGAGCCGCTGAGGCTAACAGAGACCAAAATAGAGGATGGCATGGTTCGGTGTGTGATTACACCAGGGAGCCTGGTTTCGGTGTGGGGACAAAAGGGAGGGACCCCATGGGACATAGAATTTGTCAGCATTGGTCTCAACGGCCGGACAGGCCAGCTGGGTGACTTGAGGCCAGTTAGTTAACCTCAGAGTCTCAACGGCTTCAGCTCTAAAACAGAGA